CCTCATCGTCATCATCGTCGTCGTCGTCCTCCTCCTCCTCCTCATCGTCATCATCGTCGTCCTCCTCCTCCTCCTCATCGTCCATCGTGCACGCACTGCTCCTCCTCCTCCTCATCGTCGTCATCATCGTCGTCCTCCTCCTCCTCCTCCTCCTCCTCATCGCGCCTGGAGCGGGAGGGCGGGAGAGCGGGAGAGCGGGAGAGCTCAGCGGGCGGGGAAGCTGCGAGTCGAGGAGGCGAGTTATGCTCTGGCCCGGTTTCGGGCAAGTGTGGATTAGAGATCCCAGAGCCGCTTGACATGTATCGGGTTGCGTGCACGGCTTCTCGGACCCTCGGGAGGCGATGGAATGGTGCCGCCGAGAGCGAAGCAGAGAGGCTCGCGAGACGCAGTCCCAGAGGGAGGATCCTCTTCAGGCTTGATCAAAGCATCAGGCTTTCGCTGACCGCGAGGGGGCTTGCTCCATTTTCCAATAAAGTCCAATACAGCCCTCTTCCTCCTCCTCCTCCTCCTTCTCCTCCTCCTCCTCATCGTCATCATCGTCCTCCTCCTCCTCGTCGCGCTTGGAGCGGGAGGGCGGGAGAGCGGGAGAGCGGGAGAGCGGGAGAACGGGAGGGCGGGAGTGCGGGAGAGCGGGAGAGCGGGAGAGCGGGAGGGCGGGAGAGCGGGAGAGCGGGAGAGCGGGACAGCGGGAGAGCGGGAGAGCAGGAGAGCGGGAGAGCGGGAGAGCGGGAGAGCGGGAGAGCGGGAGAGCGGGAGAGCGGGAGGGCGGGAGCGGGAGGGCGGAGAGAGCGGGAGGGCGAGAGAGAGCGGGAGAGCGGAGAGCGGGAGAGCGGGAGAGCGGGAGAGAGCGGGAGAGCGGGAAGCGGAGAGCGGGAGAGCGGGAGAGCGGGAGAGCGGGAGAGCGGGAGAGCGGGAGAGCGGGAGAGAGCGGGAGAGCGGGGGAGAGCGGGAGCGGAGAGCGGGAGAGCGGGAGAGCGGGAGAGCAGGGGTGCCGGGGGGGCGGCCGGGCGCCGGGCGCCGCTCTCCCGCTCTCCCGCCTTCCCGCCCTCCCGCGCCGCCATCCCGCTCTCCCGCTCTCCCGCTCTCCCGCTCTCCCGCTCTCCCGCTCTCCCCGCTCTCCCGCTCTCCCGCTCTCCCGCTCTCCCGCTCTCCCGCTCTCCCGCTCTCCCGACCTGCTCTCCCGCTCTCCCGCGCTCTCCCGTCTCCCGCTCCCGCTCTCACCCTCCCTCCTCTCCCGCTCTCCCGCTCTCCCGCTCTCCCGCTCTCCCGCTCTCCCCCCTGCTCTCCCGCTCTCCCGCTCTCCCGCTCTCCAACTCTCCCGCTCTCCCGCTCTCCCGCTCTCCCGCTCTCCCGCTCTCCCGCTCTCCCGCTCTCCCGCTCTCCCGCCTTCCCACTCCTCCCGAATTTCCACTTTTCCCGCCATCTCGCTCTCCCATCAGCGGCTGGAGAGCACGTTATCGAAAAAAGGTGGTTGAGGTAGATCTCAGAGGGGGGGGCTCCCATATATATATGTATCGGAACGAGGGGGCCGAACGGTCATTCATTGTCCCTGAGTGCGTGGCTGAAGTGAGAATCCGTGGTGAAGATTATGCTTGTTGCGTTGTTGTTGCTGCTGCTGTTGTTGTTGCTGATGTTAATGACTACGTAAACAATGAATATTGTTGGACCCCTTACAAGCGCCCTTGCGCTCTCGCCGAAGCGCCGGCTTCATTTTCAATGAAAATGAGGCTCACTCTCAAGCGGTTTGGGGGACCGCCAAAACCGACCCCCCAACAACAACAACGCTCCCGTTCGAGACTTCCTCCAGTTTTACTCAGGGTCGGTGCTCTTGCTCGCCGCCGAAAGCAGCCGTCTCAACAAAACCAGCGCTCCCGCTCGAGACTTCCTCCTGTTTTACCTTAGACAAGCGCGCTACTCTTTCTCTCATCGGCGCCGCCCCCCAGCAACAACAACGCTCCCGCTCGAGACTTCCTCCTTTTTTACTCAAGGCGGTGCTCTTGCTCGCCGCCGACAGCCCCCGTCCCGACAAAACCAGCGCTCCCGCCTCCCGTTTTACGCTGGACTGGCGCCCTACTCTCTTTTAAATCGGCGCCACTCTCAGCAAGAACAACGCTCCCGCTCGAGGCTTCCTCCCATTTTCCTCAGGACGGTGCTGTTCCTCGCCGCCGACAACCCCCGTCCCGACAAAACCACGGCTCCCGCTTGAGACTTCCTCCCTTCTTACTCAAGGCGGTGTTCCTCCCCGCCGCCAACAATCGCCGTCCCAACAAAACCAGCGTTCCCGCTCGAGACTTCGTTTTGCTTTGCAGTGGACTAGCGCCCTACTCTCTTCAGCATTGGCGCCGCTCCCAGCAACAACAGCGGCCCTGCTCGAGACTTCCTCCCTTTCTACTCAGGGCCAAGTCCTTGCCTCGCAGCCGACAGCCCCCATCCCCACCAAGGCAATCCTGTCGCTCGATACTTCCTTGTGCTTTACCCTTGGCTGGGGCTCCACTGGCGGTCTCGCATCGGCACAGCAAGGCGCGGGCATGCAGTCTCGAGGCGGGATATGTTGAAAATCCTCGGAAGAGGTGTTTGCAAGACCTCATTGGGCGGGAGATCTGTGAATGGGAGTAACGGACCCCGCATAGAACAAGAGTCCCCCATGATGGGGATGGTTATCATGATGGTCGCATGCTTCGTGTGGAAACATCGCGCATGAGGGTAATAGTACTGTTGTTGTTGTTGGTGGTGTTGTTGTTGCTGCTGTTGCTGTTACTGCCGCTGTTGCTGTTGCTGTTGCTGTTGTTGTTGGTTGTTGTTGTTTACTGTTTGTTGTTTGGTGTTTGTTGTTTGATGTTTGTTGTTGTCGTCGTTCCCCCCGCGGCCCACCCGCGACCCACCCCGCGACCCATCCCGCGACCCACCCCGCGACCCACCCGCGACCCACCCCGCGACCCACCCGCGACCTTCCCCGCGACCCATCTGCGACCCACCCGCGACCCACCCGCTACCCACCCGCGACCCACCCCATGACCCACCCGCGACCCACCCGCGACCGATCCACATTGGTTTAAAGAAAAAATCGGCACCTGCGGCGGTCTCGTTGTATAATTTGTGAAACTTTGGCACCTGCGGCGGTCTCGTTGTATAATTTGTGAAACTTTGGCACCTGCGGCGGGCTTCTCCAGAGTCTCGCAGACTGCTGACGTCCCCACCGCCCCCTCACTCTTATCCGCATCTGCGGGGTGCAACAGTATATATGTGTATGCTAGAACTGTCACGGATGCATGGGCAGTGTTCTGTCTACGCGCGTTGGGGTGCACAGTTCTGCTCCAAAGGAGCGCTCTGCACTCAGAGCTCACAGCGCGCGTCTAAGCCACAACGGCTGGTTACAGCGAGCGGGGGAAAAGACAACGGGAACGGAGCCGTACATGTTATTCCCTTTTCTACATTTCTACAATCTGGGACCATGCGACCCCCCCCCCTACACGGGACCCCCTCCAGACCCTTGGCCCCGGGGGCACCACGGACGCCCTTGAAGACGGTCCCCTGTGCTTTCCAGGGCTCCTGAAGCCTCTGCTGGGCCTAGGCAACGGGCCCGAATCGGTCAGGAGGGCGGCCGGACGGCCCCACGAGAGCCCACAGAGGCACCGGCACCCGCCAAACGCCCGAAGACGACTCAAAGAAGACACCCAAAAGGCACTCGAAACGCAAAAAAAAAAAAAAAAAAAAAAAATGTATATCCGATGGCTTTTGCATGACTTGGGGGATGCTCAATTCGTCGGTCTTCGGGGCGTCCGAGACTGCCCAGGAGGCCAGAGCATCGCCCCAAATTTAACCAAGAGGGCTTCCAGGCAGGACAAGAGGAGCCCCAAGACGGCCCAACAGGGCCCCAAGTTGGCACAAAGAGGGCCCCATGACGGCCCAAGACGGCCCCAAGACGCCTCCCGAATCATTCTAAATCGTGATCCAGTCGTTCAGTGAGACCGCGGTTGGAAGCAGGGTGGCCCGACGAAGCTCCCAGTGGTCCTCAGAAGGAACCCAGGAGGCTCCCAGCAGGCCCAACAAGCCCTTAAAAACCTTCGTGAGACTTACAAGATGCTCTCCTAGGATGAGCATCCACAAAAAGAGCTGATGATGGTGGCGAATTCGAAGGGTAGGGCGATACTGAGGAAAAGGAAATGGAAACATGAGGGAAGAAGAACGAATAATATTACTACGACGACGATGCCCCCCCCAAAAAAAAACGAATTGTCACTAAATGTTCCGCTTTATATTTCTGCCTTCCTGCCTGCATGCCGAACCTGAAGGACCAAAGTACATGGAACGAAGTGCCAATGCAGTCTTGTATAGGTATACACACATATATATATGTATATATATACATATATATATATATATATGTATATATATACGCATATATAAACAGACGCATTAAACACATTCGCGCGCTCCGCGCGCACTCTGCATCTAGGTAGCTCCAGGCATTGGAAATCCATACCGGATCATGTCCGACCCCTCGCTCTCCAACTGCCCTTCTTACCCTACTCCTATCTTTGTGGCCGCCGCCTCCCGCCCTGCCTCCTCCTGGAGAGGCGGGCCCCCGATGTAGAATTCCTCGGAAGGCAGCAAAAGGGACCCACACAGCCGGCGACGAGGCGCGGAGGCCCACGCGGAGAGGCCCTCCGCGGAGAGCTCTCTCCGGCGAGGCCCTCTGCGGGGGTTTCTTCGGCAGCCCCTCCTGATGGGCCTGTCTTCCACCACCACCACCACCACAAGTTGGAGGGGGGACAGAGGAGGACGACGAGGAGGAAGAGGAAGGAGATGAGGAGGAGGAGGAGGAAGACGAGGAGTAGGAGGAGGAGGAGGAGGAGGAGGACGAGGAGGAGAAGGAGGAGGAGAACCCCCTCCCCTCCTACTCATGGTGGTGGCGGTGGAAAAGAAGCCCACCACCTCCGAAGGCCCTCTCGAAGGGGCCGTTTGTGGCGGCGGCGGCGGCGGCGCGGCTGGGACGGCTC